ATTATTGCTGAATTATTCATTGTTTTCAGGCAAATGAATGAATTAAGAAAGAGCCAGGACAATCAGAACAGAGAGGAACTTAAAGTGTTGGCGCGACAACATTCTAACAAAGATGAACTGCAAAGGTTTGCCATGTTTGTCTTGTTAATGTATCCTTGATAACAACCTTATGGCAACAGAAACGACAAAGGAGTATTCTCGCTGTCATGCCTTCCCGCAGGTTTTCTATGCTTGTCGGTGTTTTTTTTTTCATTTTTTTTTTTTACTCCAGTCTGTCTTTCCCCCCTTGTCTCCCCGTTCTTTCCTTTCTCCTCACTTCTTTTTTTCCTATATTCGTTTTTTTTTTCTCCGTCTTTTTCTACAGCAGTTAAATAGTCACGAATGGAGAATGGAACTCGCTTACGAGCTAGTGTCATGCGAGCTCTCGAGTCACATCTTGTTCGGTGTATCTGTTGTTTGGCTTCTGCGTCTTTTATTTTTTTTGTAGTCCTTTACCAAAACTGCGCCGTTCAGGGATCAGAAAGTCATCTTGTTTTTACTTTCGGTTTAGATGTAACTGAGCGATTTGAAAGTTTGAGCCAATCTCTACTTTCTTCCCACGAGTCTCATGGCTCACTTTTGCTTTCTAGGAGGAAACGGGAGGAAAACAAGAAACACATTGAACAGTCCGTCAAAGAGCGACAAAAGGTTTGTGTTTCGTTGGGTTTGATTTGTCTCTCGAAAGGATAAATCATCTGAGGTCCAGTTCAGATAAAATGTACGTTTTCTCCAGACAAATATCACTTGGTACCAAGAGAAAATAATCTCTTTTACGCATGTTGCCTTTCGCTATGAAAGATGAAAGACATCCATCCCCTTTCAACGAGTATAATTCGCCTGTGAGTAACACTGAACGAACAGCAAGGATATTTTTTCTTTGTGATTAAAATGGCTTCGGTAATAAAAATTACATCAGGAAACCACCGCCCCCAATCTAAAAATAACTTCAGTGAAATTGACATATCCGGCCAACGCCCTAGTTTTCTCTCCCTGTCCCACCATTGTTTTCTTTTCGGCACAGATTACTTGCGTAGGGATTGGTTGGTTGATTGATAGAAGATCAGACTAAGTGAACAATTGATTGATGGATAGATGATTGAAAGCTTGGCTGACTGATTGATATTTAAACCTTTTTTCATATTTGTTGATTTTAGATGACAGAGTTCCACAAGAAAGAAAGCGAAGAGTTGGAGAAAGAACACGATAAACTATACGAAACTCTCGATGAGGATAGAAAAAAGGTACGTTGGATTTCCCTTCGTCAACGTAGTGTCCTCTGTACAACTCAAAGCGTTCAGTGATACCGTCATATTTTGAAAAATTTACACGATTACAAGTTTTGACAGATTCTGATCGTCTTTCTTTCTTAGAGTTCACAAGACCTTCGGACTCTGCACGAAACGAAAGTGAGACAACTGAGCGTCTGTGACCTGGAAATCACATATGCTTCCCTTTATGGTGACAAGGTAACCAAGCTGTAATTTTGGACGCCAAGGTTTTTTGGTGGCAAGGTTATCAAGCCGTGCAACGGGGAAAAAATGCCTCGCCCGTGGTGTTCAAATCATGCAATTAGTTAATCCTATAGCAGGGATAATTTTTATCAGTGGAAGATCCAGGGCAGGACTGGCCCAGATAGATTAACTGAGGGAGGGGTACTTCTACTTTCTGTTAGAAATGTTGGGGTATCTGAACTGTTGTGTCTTGTCCTAGAAGTTAAAAATTACATTTGAGCCAACAAAGGCCCGCGTAGATGTTTATACTCTAAGGAGTAAGTAATTTAATTAAGGTTATCAATTTATTGTTACTCAGTGTTTAATTAGGTATTGTTGGGATTTGGTATTATTCCGATGGACCCATAATTTATTTAAATGGGATAATATTTATTGTTAGGTGCCCTTCTGGGTAATGAAGTAAGGTAATGAATTTAAGAGGGTGATGTGTAAGGGCGTTTGTTTGCGCTTCGTAACGTACGAAATCTTCGGGTGTGTTTGGTTGTAGAACAGGTGGTTTTTTTTTCCAAAAAAGGTAGCGGACATCTCAGCTTTTTCCTCACCATAATACACCTATGTATAACAGCTTGTGATGTTATGCAGTCCTATTTTTTTTTCTAGCAGCAGGGTGACGTAGAGTGTGTTTTTTTTTCTTTTCTCGCTGTCTTGTGGCAATTTCCTGTTTCTCTATGATTTTACGCAAGCATGTTTTTTTCTCGCCATCTTTGGACTGTTACCTTTTCCCAAAGTCGTATCGCCAATTTATAACCAAATTATCACCTATTTAACATTTTATCAGGTTTGGCTCCTAATTTCACGCATGCGTGACCGATCATTTTTCTACCTTCATGTCACACATCCAAAAATATTGTTTTTGCCATAATGCCATGCCCAATTGCTGTTTCTTCTCATTTAGTTCATCGCGCGGCGTTCAACAACTTTTTCCTTCCTATTTTTCCTCCTTTATTTGAAGAGGATATCTCAAATGAAGCTACATAATGCTGTACGAACAGTGCATATTTATTGACTTGATCGTTTTAGGGGGTTGGGGGGCGCTATTTATTGTTGGACAATGAACGTTATTGATATTGTCGTATTTTGTTAAATATGCAGAATTTAAGGACATTTTCAACGTATTTATAATGCGGTATTTCCGCGCTCAAAATGATTTCACTGTGGAAAGCTCTTAAAAAGAATGAATTCGTTTGCCATATATTTGAATTTGGCACAATTTACAGTTTCTCGTCACAGGATGCCCAAGCTAATTCATAAAGCTTTGGTACCCTGTATCTGCAATTAATAAGTGTGTTTATTAGCTTTCACAGTATAAGTACAGATTGTAAATAGCAAAAAACGGTGAAATGACGTTTGCAATTGCCTCTGTTCCAGTTGGGTTCAGAAGTGCCATAGGATATTTTATAATCGGGTGCAGTTATGATTTACATTTAGCTAAATTTGTTCACAGCATTGAAATTGTTATTGTTGAGCTTTGGTGTTAAATGTTAGTGGCGCACAGGATTATGGGAAGTTCTGGATATGGGGAGGGAGGGGAGGGTGGCTGTCATTTTTACTGGGTGGGTGTTGTTTCTACTCCCGTAAGTTAGCTAAAAGTGAGTAGTAATCAATAACCAGGTATGATTCTCGCCGGCAGCATAACAAGTGAAACAAACGAAGTCAAGAAGAGACTTATCTTTTTCCCCGTTTCGTTTAGGTAATAACGTCATTTCGTAAGGCGTACGTTTCAGCTTCGCAGGTTAATTTTGTACCCGGTTTTCTCTCTCTTCTTTCCTCGAGGGAGGAAGAGAGAGGACAGTGGAAACGAAGTTGCTCGCTCTTGTTATGCCGTTTATCTTAATCAGGCACAAGCGTGATATTGTATTTGATACGAGAGTGTGTATTTTCCACTTTTAGTTAATTCTGTGGTCACGTAAAAGTCCCTTTTCCAATAAATGTTATGCTCGCATCGCAAAAGGCTCGTCCTCTGACGCTTAAGGATTCGTTGTGAGCTCTAGAAGGTTCTCCGTGTTTTGTCACGACCAGGGGTGTTGCGTGACAACAAATTTTTATGACACAGTTTGCCATTTCATTTATTAAGTGATTAATAGCTATTGATGCCGGATATTTGCGGACTTCGATATCGTCAGCAAATCTTAGTGTTTTCCAGTTGTCGTTGGCGTCTCAAGGACGAGTGTCTCCACGTATTGCCGTTAGAATCTGGTGTTTTTGTCGCAGTTTACCGTATTAAAGATATAATTTTAAAGCGTTATGGGTGGAGAAATTAAACAATTATTTACAGCACCCTGAGGCCCATTGTTTTATTTTCAATCGAAGTGCAGCTGCACTGTTTATTTCATTCAATCCATGGGTCTATTTCAATTTTGTATGAAGTTCGAATAAAATTATCTATTCATCTCAGTTTGACTGATGCCTTGTCTAGCAGTCTGCTCGCTGTATTCTCCACATTTGCGTCTTTAATTTCATCAACCCTTTGACTTTTTATCTCTCTCTCTAGCTGCTACACATTTCCAATTAGTTATGGGAATTTGGTGTTAGATCAAAATAACTTTACCTGATACGTTTGAGTATTCTTGTTTCCTGTTTGCAGGATAATAAATAGCTATAATAGGAAGAGGTTACGTTTTGATGTCACTTATGGGAGGTTAAAGATTAATCAATCCCGGAGGCAAAACAGTTTCCGCTTCGTATTCTAATTTTTTTGTCATTAAAAAAAAGTTATCAATGAATAGATACAACTTTAAGCCCCGTCCACACGTATCCGGATAAATTTGAAAACGGATAAATATTTATACGGTTACGGGTTCCGTCCACACGTAAACGGCGTTTTCACACACCGAAAACGGATCAATTTGAAAACGCTCTCCAGAGTGGATAAATTTGAAAACGCTGGCTAAGCGTCTCCGTGTGGACGCCTTATCCGGATAAATTTGAAAACGATTTGAAAACGATGACGTAACAATTCAAACCTAGTCCAACGCGTATACTCGGCCGATCGACCATTTATGAAAACATGGCGAATAAACAAGCTCTAGTTTCGGTACTTATTTGAATTAGACATCTTACCAAACTCCTTTTTGACCACGAGGAGCAAACGAACCCTGTTGATAAGTTTGAGAAGCCCAAGAGCACAGCCAAGAGGATTCAGGCTCAGGATACGCGAGACTGCGGGCACATGTTTTGCTCTAAAGAGCATGCTCAGTAGGCGACGTCGTCGTTTTCAAATCGTTTTTGCGTTTACGTGTGGACACCAAAAACGATTCACAAACGGCAACCTGTGGACGCGGATAAATTTGAAAACGGATAAATATTTATCCGTTTTCAAATCTATCCGGATACGTGTGGACGGGGCCTTATTTTGATAGTGGCTGCCGTTGTATCTATCTGATGAATAAATCACAAGACTTATTTCATTATCACACAAATTTAATTTTGAATAGCCACTGACGAAATACAATTTACTTTCATTGAACACGCTCAGTCTGCGAACTAACATATCTTCTGTTCAGTTCGAGCGAGGACAGAGCGATAGCCGGGAAAATGTCAGTCCGTTCTCCAAACATTTCAGAATACTACGTCTTCTGTGATGTCGTTCATCGTGTCGAAGATCTTTATGTACGTTGTATTCAATGAATTATTATAGTAAAGGATCCTGGTGTGTCTGTGGAGTCCACCAAGGCTTTCGCAGCCTCTTCGTCCGTGTTTCCGGTTTTCTTTGGCAAGGTTTTCCCAGCAGCCTTGACGGAGGTCGGACAAATCGTTCCCGGCATTCCAAGGTAGTAGTACGTCTCACGTGGTTTGAATTTATCGTGCAGACGCTTGATACGAATCCGCTGACCTCCTGCAATTCCTGGTGTTCGAAAAAGAAAGAGTTAAATGATGATTGAAAAAGAAAAAGATAAAAAGTTCTGTCGACGCTTCTTTTCACCGTTTAAAACCTTGTTCATTTGGTTTCCCCAGTGTAACACAGCAGTCCGAACGTCGTGCATGCACGAGAGGATCAATTTTAGACAGCCGCTCGCCACTTTCCCGCGTAAAATTATAAAAAAACACAAGAAACAACACTGTCTCACAAGATAGGCGAAAGAAAATTGAAACTTTCAGAGGAATTTGTTAAAGGAACCGAAAGTAGGGTAAGGGAGAACTCGAAACTTTTCGAACATAAAGCTTATTCAAGTACGGGTATCCTGTTGATTTGCTATTCTGTGTTGAGCTTTGGCAATACAAAGTTATACTCTTTTATAACATCGTGAATTACTGGCTTGTGTAGTTGTGTAGAATAACTGGTGCGAGACAACTTGATTCTGACAGCCTGAATGCGTGCCTCCGACATTACAACGTTCGCACAGTATGCACTCGCTTGACCACTGAATACTTTGGTGCAGGCAACATAATACTCTAAGAGAGTTGTTGTTTAGGCAATACGAGTCAATCATATGACGTTTTACATGCGGCCTTACCTTGATGACTGATTTCAGTCAGTCTATACTCGCCAGCGGTCTCTGCCTTGTTACTCACACCGTCATCGTCCAGATACAACTTGTAGCTGCTGTCTCGGCCAGGATAGATACTAAACGTGATGGGATTCACCTTGCCGTGACGGTACAGCTCACCAATGTACTGCTCAACCTCACGCTTGGGTATAATGGCGCCTTCTCGGATGTAAATGGCACAGTTATCTCTAGCAGGGTCGTCCCAAAGGGCGTAGAAATCGAACTCCACCCCACCATTGACAGTATCCTCCAGTGGATACTTGTCATCTGTAAAACGGTACCACTGACCCCCAGCGGGGAGGTAGACAGCACGGCTCGTTTGACTTTTTGATACAATAAATTGAGAACGGCTTTTCCTCTCAGTGGTGTACAGTTGCTATGTACTAAGATGCGTTGTCTTAAAAAAGTACTTGGAGGGTACTCTTAAAGTGCAGAGCATTTTGGGAAAGTACTGGCCATTTTT